TCAAAGTAATCTTCATAAAGCACAAAGTGGGCTGCTCTGATTAGGATGGATCATACCAATGTGCTTTTCTTTGTATTTTAGCTCGTGTTTTATTATTCCTCAGCCGGTAGAGTGGGTCGTTTTTCTCTGGTCTTCATTTCCTCTCCATATCAGATCCTAGGAGCTAACCTGTGTGGGGCCTCACAGGTGGAGTGTACCTCTGTGCCCCTTGATTTTAGGCTTGGCTGTAGGATTCCCTTTGGCCATTGAAATGGCAGAGGACACGAGACTTGCAGAGACTTAAATTGTGTGGCAAGGTTGGGCTTACTCTCTCGCTGTATGTTTTTTTGTATGTGTGTGTGTGTGTTTTTTTTTTATCCTCACCCGAGGACATTTTTTCATTTTTTGTTCAGCTAGAGCAGGAGGAAGAGAGAGGAAGAGAGAGAGAGAGAAACATCGATGTGAAAGGGACACGTCGGGTGGCTGCCACCCACACGACCAACCAGGGCTGGGGACAAACTGCAACCGAGGTATGTGCCCTTAGCGGGAACCGAACCCGGGTCTCTCTGGACCTCAGGCCGACGCTCTAATCGCTGAGCCAAATCAGCCAGGGCTTGTGTGTGTTTTAACGTGCCTTGGTAGTTATTACGGTAAGGAGGACGGGACCCATGGACACCATCCGTAGGTGAAACCAGTCTCTGCAGCAGTCAAGCCTCAGTCAGCTGAGCCCTAGCCAACCACCTATGCACAAAGTACAAAACATGCTCCCAGGTCTGTGCTCCTGAGCTTTTGTGTGACCAGTGACACAGCACTATTTTAAAGAACTATGATATACCTTGTTTAAAGATTTGTCTCTCTCACTACTCTGGGACCTAGAGCGTATTATGCTAAGCAAAATAAACCAGTCCGAGAAAGACAGGTACCACATGATCTCATTTATATGTGGAATCTATTGAACAAAATAAACTGATGAACAAAATTGATCTAGAGACACGGAGGCAAGGAACAGACTGAGGGACCTCAGAGGGGAGGGGGAGGGAGACTGGAAGAGATTAACCACAGAACTTATATCACATATGCATAACCAGAGGACACAGACAATAGTCTCTTGAAGGTCTGGGTAGGGGGTGAGAGCAGGATGGAGGGGATCAATGGGGGGAAAAGGGGCACATCTGCAATACTCTCAACAATAAAGATATTTAAAAAAAGATGAGAGAGAATAAAAAAAAAGGTAATAATCACAGTTTGTGTAATTCTACATTTCTCCAAAGGAGTTACTGCATAATATAGCCTCAACAATGGTCAACGGGTGAATGAATGAGTGAATGACCACAAGAGTCTGAGTGAAATGTGCAGAGCACCATTGCTATGGCAACCCAGGTCCATCACTTAGCAACCACACTGGACTACAGCTTCAGTTCTGAAGAAAGGCTGTACCCATTCTTAAGCTGAGTGCAGGAATTCCTGCCAACTCTAGTCCAAGCATAAGCAGGGCCACCAGGTCCTGGACAAAACCCAACCCTCGGCTCTGACTCGACATTAGCCAGATGGTGAAGTCCGAGGTTACTCTTCCATTTTCTTCCAGATGGCGAACTCTTGCATCAATAACCAATCGGACATATGCTCTGAACCCAATTCTAACTACAATGGCAGGAATTCCCTACAAGTGACTGGCTCTTTGGTGATGATGCTACTTCCTCTATCAATATTTAATATGTAAGATTTGTTTTCTAGAATCTTTATTGTGTCTTGGGAACCCTTTATAAATAACTATGGTTGTGACACCATATATGATTATTTTCTAAGGCCACGGTGGGCTATCTTAAATCATCCTAGAAGATGTGAAGATTCTGGAAGTTGTAAGAATTTAAGGATTAAAATGTATACTTAATCTATATTTTCCTGTGGCAGTGTTTTCTGAAGTCTAAGAATAAGGCTGTGTGTGTGTGTGTGTATGTGTGTGTGTGTGTGAGAGAGAGAGAGAGAGAGAGAGAGAGAGAGAGCTAGAGAGCTTGTGTTTGCTGACTTTTTCTTATACTGGGTGAGATTCTGAGTCAATACAAAAGCAGCTGACAACATTAGATAACAATGATTATAGCAAAGAATTTAATCGATACCTACTTTTATCTCAGCAACACACATCAAAGCTTTAAAATTATTTGTACAAATGTCCATTCTTAGCTAGTCTCAGAGTAAATAAGATCAAGCTGTCTGAAGAGTCAGAAAAACATTGGAGGAAAAGTAGCAATGTTGAATGTCAAAAAAAATGCGGTGATGCCCAGAACTGTGGGATCAGTTGGTTGGGTGTAGTCCCAGGCACCAGGAGGTCTCTGATTGGATTCCCGGTCAGGGCACATGCCTGGGTTTCGGGCTCGATCCCCAGTAGAGAGCATGCAGGAGGCAGCCAACTGATGTTTCTCTCTTATTGATGTTTCTCTCTTATTGATGTTTCTCTCTCCCCCTCTCCCTTCCTCTCTCTCTAAAAATTAGTTAAAAATATTTTTAAAAATGCAGCAGTCAAGACTGAGCAGTGAGTCTCTCCTTGACGATACCCCAAGATCACCATGCGCCACAGCACTGTAATTCATGACATCAGTTCTGCACACGTGGGCACCTCATCGCTTCAGAGAAACGCTAAACAAAACCCAAGCACGTCTTTAATAAAGCAGTAAAACAGTATTTCTGATGAAGAGTAAATTTCATGATTTCATACTGAAAGCCTTAAGGGGAAAACATGGAATCTGTAATGATAAATATTTCATAAAGGACTGATTCCCATTTGTACGTATTAATGACTTCACACAAGTCTTAGGAAGTTAAGGACGTTGTTGATTTTAAGAGGTTGATGCTTGAAGAGGCTGGGAAGTGGCTGGAAGCTATGTCATTCCAGGTCTTCTCCCGAGCGTATTCAGGAATGAGTTTTTGATTTCTTGGTTTTTACTTCTGCTTAAAGACCCCTGTGCTTTTTTTTTGGTACATGCCCCTAGCGGGAACCGAACCCAGGACTCTCTGGTCCGCAGGCCGACGCTCCAACCGCTGAGCCAAACCGGCCAGGGCACCTGTGTTTTTTTTAAACCTTGAGCTAAGCAGGAGAGTTTGTCTTTGTTTCCCACGATCTCACTGCAGCATCGGGGCAGCTCATCCTCGCCCTGAAACTAGGAGGCTGAACGGGGAAGAAAATGACTCGTCTGTGAGGGGAGCCGACATTCACCCTGTGGCCCGAAGGGTCCTGGGCAGGCCGCTCTGCCTGGGCCCTTTAGAAACAGCTCTGGCCCGGAATTCCGGGCTTGGCCTTGCCCAAAAACTGACGTTAAAAATCTCCCTTTATATGCTAGGTAAATTACTTGGACATCATTACCAAGTTAGACATAAAAATCACCGCAGAACCAAGAAATACGTCCCCCACTTGGAGGGGAACTGTCGACAACCCCCAGATGGAAACGAACGCACAGGACTCACGATGAGCGAATGCAAACAGCCCTCCGCTGCCAGCCCAACGCAGCGGCTTTCTCCCCATTTCTGTCGTACTTGACACGTGTCACCAGAGCAGCTTCCCCCCTTTTTACTCAGCAGAGCAGCATACACCGAACAGCGTGGCTGTGAACCTTCTGCACGTAGCACCTCTTTCCAGAACAGACCAGAGAGCTGACGTCCCAGGCGAGTGGAGGGAAACCACCACCTAAAGGGAGCTGGGGAGGACCCCCGGGAATGCCCTGGGGACCCTCTGAAAACGACCAGCACAGGCAGTTTTGTGCCCGTATGTGTTTGTGACCAGTCGGTGGGGAAACCTTGCATTTCAGTTTAGCCACAAACAGAAAGTAATGTTTTTTAGTGGACTCCGAGACACTGATGGTTGTGAGAACATGATTAGTCATAACGGGCTCCTAACCATCAGGTATCACCCTGGTGCATGTCTCCTGGTTCTGTCTGGTTTATAAATCACACGTAATTCCCAAATGTCTCTCTAATAATTAGCGTCAAGCTTTACCCGTGTCTGCTGACCTTTTTGCACACTGGCCACCGGAAATGAGCAACACCGAAATATTTCTGTTTTCATACCGCCCGTGGTGATGGTAATTATTTTTTAAAGCTGGAGAACAAGGAGCTTATTACATCGCTCTGAGTTCATCGTTTCGAGGTGCTGGTCGAGAACCGGCAGAGTGAATTCTGGAGAAGTGTCCGCAATGCCCCTTAACTCATAGAACAGTGTAGGAAGTAAACTTAGGAAGCAGACTGTGTGTCACATAAACCTCAGTTTTGTTATATCCTGAGATATCATCCACAGTACTTTCCCACTTATAGTTGCTATGGGATGAACTGTGTCTTCCAACCCCTAACCCAAATTCATATATTGAAGCTCTAACCTTCCAGAGTGATAGTATTTGAAGACGGAGTCTTTGGGAATAAATGTAGATGAGGCCCTGAGGGCGGGGCCCATTAATTGGATTAGTGCCCTTATAAGGAGCACAGAGAGCTCATGTGGGATCACTGTAAGAAGGTGGTTGTCAGCAAGCCAAAAAAAGGTCCTTACCAGACACTTCACCAGTGGACTTCAGCCTTCAGACTGTGAGAAACCAATTCCTGTTGTTCAGGTCACTCAGTCTATGGTATTTTGTTATGGCTTTCTAAGCTAAGACATTGTATTAGCCAAATTCCCTGAAATCGATTGATTAATAACATGATAAGCCAAATGTGTTCATATAGACTCTGAAGTACAATGACCCCCCCAAAGAAAATGTAAGAATGTTGTCCATTCAAAGCCTGATCTACAGTGGATGAACTTACTAGCTATTAATTTAGAAGATGGCAGTGTCCCGGCAAGCAGTCAGGAGACCGAGGCTGCATCTTACGTGGTCTCTAGTTGCAACGCAATCCTGAGAAAGTCTCTGACAGAGCTCAGATTGATCAGCTTCCTCCCCTTGAAACATAACTGGTCTGAAACATTTCTGGGCTACTGTTCAGTTTCAAAGTCTCATGACGATCAGTGCACTTGACAAGGATGGGAGGCAACTCCCACTTACCGTTCTGTTCGCGCTGCACCCCCGCGGCCAGAAGGTCAGGTTCCCCAAGGCTGATGTCATTCAGCCTGGTCCCCAGGCACTCCGCGCAGAGGTGTTTACACCACTCCTCGGCCTCCAGCTCTGCAAGGACCACACACTGTCAGTCGGGTGAGGCTGCGTCCCGGACCAGTCCCAGGGAGTAAGGGACACTTCACAATCTACCCCAGGACAACAAACATGCTCCCGCTAAAGTTTAAACATGCTTTAAACTCCCCATAAAAGTTATCTGTGACAGGTCTTCTCGACCCTGTGGATTTAAATACCAACTGAAAAAAACAACAACAAAAACCATTATTTTCCATCGCTCGACATTCCATTTTAAGGCAATTTAAAATTATTTCAATGTACTTGGATTTATTTACCAATAATAACACAAAAGACACTTATTTAGTATCTGGTATATTTCAGGTTGATTTGATTTTTGAAGGGAAATTCCTTAGAAAATTTAATTAAAAGTAAAATGAAAATATATACATGAATAATTGAAAATGCCAGACTTGATTAAACCAGTGAATGTTTTTGTTCAATGCGAGAGATTTGTGTGGTGAAGGTCTGATTGCCAAGTCAATCTGAATTTCAGTGAATCAGAGATCAGCACAAGAAAGTGACAGTTGTTTTTTTTTGGAAACATCAGAAGAGGGATCTCTTAACTTCAAAAGTTCTGGGATAGGCTACTAAAAGTATTATTTCTCTTTAGTAAACGCCAATTATCTAGGATACTGATTAGGTAACTATTTTACTCCTATTCCTTCTCAACTTCTTTATATTCTCAAGTGATTTCTTTGCTTGAAACATTAGAATGTCGGACATCTACACCAAGTCCTGGAGTACCGAACACTTTCACAAACGTAAACACATCTGATTCTAACGTAAGCCTTGCGTAGGTGAGGTGGATAGGTTAGATCAGCCCCTGGGTTTCGCAGCATCGCATCATCATCGATCAGCACCAAGGCCACATTGGAACCCAGGTCATCTAAGCTCCTTTTAATATGCAGAGATCTGAAAAAGAGTAGGAGGTGAAGATTTTGGGCCAAGCTCCCAGAATCCCCTTCCGTGGAAATGAGTTAAGAACTCTCCAATGACCACTCCCCACGCCCCAGAGACATTTCTGACTTTTCCGTGGAGCGAAAATCCATACCAGAGCAGTTTGCTATCGATTTCCTTCCCATCTTTTCTTGCTCTTCATGGATGACATTCCAACCTTTGCCTTGGCATTTTAAACTCCCCATAAAAAGTTACCTGTGACAGGTCTTCTTGACCCTGTGGATCTAAATACCAACTGCTCTGCTCCACGGTCAACACCATGGAGCCTGGGGAATGTTTTCTGCCTGTTCTAGTCACGCTGTCTCAGCATCAAAAACAGGTCTGACCAATGAGATGTCAAGGCAAATTCGTCATTCATTTTAGTCTTTCTTTTTTTAATTAAACAAATGTACTGAATTTTAGAGAGGGGGAGAGAGAGACATTGATGTGTGAGAGAGTAGGTTCCTGCCATTCAGAGGTGGTCAGAGGTTCATTTCATTTTAACAGACATTTACACTGAACTATAAGCCAGGCACTGTGTCAGGAGGAGGTTGTTTGAAAATCACAGTCTTTTCTGTTCTCACTAATCTCCGAGCCTAGGTGGGTGGCAGGTGAGTTTGGTATGCGGTGCTCTGGAGGGCTTAGCCAGGTGAGAAGCGGGCAGTGATGGTCAAGGGACAGCTGCCAGGAAGGAATCTCCTCAGGGCCTGGGGGCAAGCAGGATGAAGGTAAGGGTGTGTGCCTGTGGGTGAGTGCATGAGTGTACGGGAGTGCGAGGGTATTTGCGAGTGTGTAACTGTGTTTGCATGAGTGTGTGTGTTAATGTTGGGGGTATTTGTGAGAGTGTGTGTGTGTGTGTGTGTGTGCGCGCGTGAGTGTTGGAGGAATCGGGCTGGACCGAGGAGGGTGGCCAGGGCAGTGTCGGGAAGGCATGTCCAGGGCAGTGAGAGCCACCTCCTGGGAACAACTGGGGATGGTCCTGAGTTCATGTAGCACAACCAGTCAGCACTCTGCCCATTCTTGGCATGATGTTGTCATATCTAGTTCAACCAGATCGGCCCCAAATCTTCTTCTCAAAACTATTAACCTCTGTAATCTGCATACCTGGTCTAACAACTTCGCTGCAGAGAAGTTGAATTTGGGTGTTATAGAAGATTGTCTTTGTATCTGTTTTTGATAGTTGTCTTTCAGATAATTAGAACTTTGCCTTTTGTTTGTTCTTGCTTAGGCAAACTCTATGTATTAAAGTCCTTTGATTTTTTTATTGTGTTAGTTTATTTTGTCCCATCGTTACTTAACGAGTGGTTTTTCTTCTATCTTTCATATTTTCTTGTTATTTTTCTTACAGAAATAAGATTAAATACAAATGTGGTAAGCTGAAGCCATTGCATTTTAACTATTATTTCCCCACAGACTAAGTGTCTTTTGTTTTACCTCTCAAACTTCTATCTTAGTCTACACACAGTGTGAGAATAATTCAACTTCTTTATGGAGGAATAAAGGCATAAAATGTTCTACCAAATTTGCTCTATTTTTCTCTTTGTGATAGAGGTGCTTTCTTCATTAGGAGGTTTTTGTGAACAGCTTGCAGCTCAAATTCTTAATTCAGGTAAATGACTTTTTCTCTAACCCATATAATGTTCTCATTATCTGCAGGATTAGTTAAATGAAGAAATTCAATAACTTCCAAAAGAAAAATGGAAAGATATTTGGAAAAAAATAAGACAAATGGAGGAGAGAGACCAAACTAAATGGGTGAATTATGAGAATAATGGGTTTATTCATTGTAGGGATAAGGATGATGAGAAACAGGGCAAAACAGAAATAGAGTCAAAAGTGAATCAATCGCTCCTCCCGAGCTTCCTTCCATCCCTTCTGCACAGAATTCTGGGGAGGGTATGGCCAGATCCCCTCTGATTCAAAGCAAGCTATTCAGAAAAAAATCTTCTCCAGAATTTTGAAAATATTTTTCTAGCATCTTCCACTTATTGTTGCCAATACGGAGTCACCTATTCATCCGTCATTTCTTTCTAAAAGTAGTCTGTTTTCTGTGGTGCTGTTTTATATGTAGTTTTTCATATCCATATATGTGTCTACATGTTGGCTTGATGTAACCCTGGAAGACAATGTCTTTTCTTCATTTCTAGGATATTTTTCATATCTCAATATTTTTTATTTTTTATCCTCACCTGAGGATATTTTTCCATTTTTTTTGTTCAGATAGAGTAGGAAGGAGAGGGGGGCAAGAGAGAGGGAGAGAGAGAGAGAGAGAGAGAGAGAAACACCGACGTGAAAGGGACACATCGAGTGGCTGCCACCCGCACGACCAACTAGCTTCGGGGACAAACTGCAACTGAGGTACGTGCCCTTAGCGGGAACTGAGCCTGTGTCTCTCTGGACCACAGGCCGATGCTCCAACCGCTGAGCCAAACCGGCCAGGGCTGTATCTCAATATTTTTATCTCTACATGTTTTGTGCTGCATTCTTAATACCTTCAGATTTACCTTCTAATTAATTAGTAATCTCAGATAGTCTAATTTTATTTAATCCTTTCCACTTTAATGGCTTTTAAAAATATTTAGAAGTGCTAGGGTGAATTTTGCATATAATTTGTATTTTTAAAATATTATGTCCTTCCAAACTATGTCTAGTTCTTTCTTATATTTATGTATTTTAAACATCACAACTTTATATTCCTTTAATACTTTTTCTATTTTCTTTGCCATTCTGGGGTGCAGCTTTGCCTTTTTAAAAATCAGATGACTTTCTCTCACTGGGATTTATTCACGTGGTTTGCACAGTTTTACTGTAAGCTCATCTTCAGAAAGATTTTCTCGCCACTGGAAATCTCATAAGCCTGTGAACCTCAAAGCCTCTCCACAAAACCATTCACCGTCTGCCGCCTTCAAATCCCTACAGAGTGAGCATTTCTGGAAGAACTTCTAGTTTAATACCAGCTTGGATTCGCTCCTTATGCAAATAGTTTACATTGGAACGCTGCATCCGTGTGTGTGAGCCTTCATTGGGGTGACGGTTCTCCCCTGCCTCCGACAGGTGTCGGCCTGCTCATTGCTCTCTCGGGGCAGCAGGTCAAGTCGTGCGATTTCTTCCTCCAGGAGGAGGAAGGCACTTGCAGAGCCAGGTTTACGCAGAGAATTCCAGTCCACGGCCTCCACTTCATGTTGGTGCAACATCAATGCCATAGTTCTTACCCTAGTGATGTTTATAATTGTGTGTGTGTGTGTGTGCGTGTGTGTAGTCTGGATATTTCCAGTGACTCATTTTTCCATTTACTAATATCCTCTTTGGCTGCTTATTTATTTTTTATTTTATTTTTTTAAATTAATTTATTTTTGTTACAGATGTTCCTCGTCCCCGCCCCCGCCATTGACACCCTCCTCCCCATTCCTCCTCACCCAGTCCCCAGCTTTGTTGTCTATGTCCATCAGTTATGTATACATGCATATAAGTTCTGTGGTTTGTCCCTTCCCTTCCCTACACCCCTCTTCTGAGATTGTCAGTCTGTACCCTACTTCTATGACTCTGGGTCTATTTTGTTTATCAGTTTGTTTAGTTCATTATATTCTACAAATAAGTGAGATCATGTGATATTTGTCTTTCTTTGCTTGGCTTGTTTTGCTTAGGATAATACTCTCCAGGTCCCTCCATGTCATCTCAAAGGATAAGAGATCTTTCTTTCTTACAGCTGCATAGTACTCCATTGTGTACATGTACCACTGCTTTTTTATCCACTCATCTACTGATGGGCACTTGGGCTGTTTCCAGATCTTAGCGATTGTAAATAGTGCTGCTATGAACATGGGAGTATATATATTCTTTCTGATTGGTGTTTCAGGCTTCTTAGGGTATATTCCTAGTAGTGGGATCCCTGGGTCAAATGGCAGTTCAATTTTTAATTTTTTGAGGTAACACCATGGTGTTTTCCATAGTGGCTGCACCAGTCTGCATTCCCACCAGCAGTGTACTAGAGTCCCCTTTTCTTCACACCCTCGCCAACACTTGTTGTGTGATGATTTGTTGATGGCGGCCATTCTGAC